CAAAAGTCTATTTATAAAACTAGGTAAAATGTTCTGGAACAGGATGAGCTGCAGCTTGTCACTCTGTATTGTGTTATTATCCGTAAACTCCCTCCATTTAGAGTGATTCTTCGTTCTTTATCTATTTGTGCTTCTGTCAAGCAATTTAGCATTTCATTAGATTAGCTCGACAGGGCCAAAGGCGACCAGAAGTGTTGTGAATAAGAATTATTTAGATCGTCCCTGGCAAGGATAATAGTACGTGAAAAAGTAGATGACAGCGACATTAGATGTGACAGAAAAATAATTCAGGCTGTTTAAATCTGCTCAAATCCAACAACAGACCATTTCTGCTTTTTGAATTTATATTTCACATAATTCATTCACTTAGCATTTATTCACTGAAGCAACACAGTTATCCTTTTTTTAATGGCTTCGTGAAGGGTCTGTAGCTGCCTCTCATATAGTTTCTACTGTATATGTGATTGTTTCTTGTATGCAGTCTTTGGTTCGGGTCTATTGGTTCCTTTAGTTGGGAACTGTTGACTTTATTTGCAGGTTTGTGTGGGGTTCTTTAGGGTTTTGGCCGGTTTGGCCGGTTTCATTTATGGCTTTTTTGGGCTCTGGTGGTCTTGTGACTGAGAAGCCAGCAGTAAAAGCTGTTTGGTGTCTGATGGAAGCTATAAATCAAAACCAGACTCAACCAGAAAAACTGACACTGGATCAGCCCACTAGAAGGAAAGCAGTCTGAGCTTGACTCAACCACCAACATGCCAGATTTTAATTAAATTAATTGCATGAAATTGTAGTTTAATAACTGAGGATCAATTTTAGTGGTTAGCTACATTTTAAATAGCAAGGCGGTCTGTCGTCTGTCACATCTTGACCCTCTTGAGTTTTAGTACAACAAATATACACTCACCAAAATGCCAAAGAGATTACACACATCCTGGAGCACACAATGTTATTTTGGTTGTAAAATCCAATTGTACAGAGCTTGTGAAGTCTTGCAAATAAATGTCAAGCTTTGAATGCTTGCTAAATGTTTCTGCTGTATGGATAGGCGGAGATATTAAATCTGTAATAATTATGTAAATAATAACAACACGCATCTGAAAGAAAGTGTGTAGACACGAGGGAAGAGGACATTCTCCACCGCCCACACTCCCACAGCTGTGTTTTCTCTTAAGACCTTGATTCAGATGTGAGGTCTGTGTGGTTCTCTTTGGTAATTGTGGTTGGCGATGCAGGGATTAGATCAGAGCAGCTTTTAATGGCAGCCTTCATCAGTTTCAGAAAACCAGACCAGTTAAAAAAAAAAAGAGAAACACAATTCGTAACCATTTGAAATTTTGGCTAAATTGCTAACTAATTTGTATGTCTTCATACAACCTGTTTACTCTCCATGTGGGTACATGGGGAGTAAACAGTGAGGACGGTTATGTGGGTGGGCCTTTAAGCTTAGTTCCCATTTATGCTCATTGCCACCTTGTAAAAATAGTTTGATTTTCCTGTGAGATCGGGTTGAAATTCCATATATTTTTCTCTATTTTTCTCTAGTCTGTTGAAGACTAGGTTTTGTTCACTATCTGTTGGAGAAACAGATATGTCCACACACACATGCTCCATAATATAAAGACTCACTGGACACATGTAAATACTATTTGCACCATTTTCATTGTATTTCTACACCCTTGTAAATATTTTTCACCTCGCAAAGTCTGTTGTAGTTTGATATCTTTTGTCTTTTTGTTATATTTTTCTCCTCATCTTGTCCCAGCTGTTCAGCGGTTCCAGAGGCAGTAGAGTTCAGGTTTCTCCACGCTGCTCCGTCGTGGTTTGGTCTGCACTCTGCCTGCAGGTTCTAATGATTCTAACAGACTCTGAGCTCCCTTTTCAGCTGCATACATCACGTCTCTCGTCTGGAGGCTGATCTGCAGATCTGTATCTATGCCAAGCATAAGGCAGACAGAGCTGCTTCAGTCTTACCACTCTTTTGAACCAGTTCTGAGATTAAATCCAGATTGCTTGCAAAAGTTGAGTCATTTGGTCCCGACTTTGCATTGTGTTAACTAACCACTGAATGGCATGGGATCTCACACAGCTCACTTTTCTAACAATGATTCAAAGCCTTTGTCAGGTCAGGATGTCTACAGGAATTTTTAATGTGTGTACATGGTTTTCACATGTCCGATTTCTGAGTAGCTGACATGATGTGACAGGCTATATGGCATATAAAACGGTATCTTTTTTTTTTTTTAGAATTATATCACACATTTAGCTTTTATGACCTCATTAATTTAGACTATGTGTGTGTGTGTGTGTGTGTGTGTGTGTGTGTGTGTACCTATCTATCTATCTATCTATCTATCTAGATATTTAGATAGATAGATAGATACACTTATACACATAATTTTTATGGAATATATAAGATACATATAACATTTTATATATTATTACCTATAAACTTTATATTGATTTAAAACAAATCCATGGACAGATTCATTAACTACATCTTATGTTTACAACTGATTCATATGTCATATGTGTGTTTTTTTCCTAGCATAGCTAATAAGTTCCTCTCTTCCTTTTAACTTTTAGTGTAATAGTTTCCACATTAGGGTTTATAGCTTGTGTATGCAAGCACACACAGCCAAACAGCCGATATTGACACCAGCAGGGGCCCTTGTGTCAACTATCCTTTAGGGAGCGCTGGTGGTGTTGGAACCTGCTTTGATCCCATTGGTCCATTTTGAAATAGACTGATCAGGAAGAGAAATCAGATTTGAAAAGGGACATAGGAAAATAAAGTGAGAGTCATCTTATAGAATAAAAATTCATAGTCATTTGTTCCAGTTTCGACATCACAATTTTGGTGCAAATCCATGTGTAAATTGGTAGAATCTGCTCAAATTAAGCAAATGCAATATGAACAAATTGTGTGACAATCTTAAACCTACTCAACAAAACTACTCAAAGTGAAAATAAAATAAAATCCAGACTAGATGCAGATTAATGTGCGGTGAGGGAGAGGAAAAGAGCAAGAAGGACAGAATTTGAAGCGGGTAAATAGGAGGGTGTGGGAGTTTTATGTGGACATTTGGCTGTGGCCTCAGGTTTATTGGCCAGATCCTCTGACTCTGAGCTCAGCCCAGGGCAGACGGCCGGAGGGGATGATGAACAGGTCATCATCTGCATCCTCCACTGATCTGACGCCACATCACACTCTCCAGATTTCCGCTAAAGGAGCACACTGTGTCTCCAAGTCTCCTTATAGCTGACACATGGCTCAGGGGTCAGTGAGAAGTAATTTTGAAACTATAAGTTCACATTTTGAATTTTTTTAAAACCATAAATTTTTTTCAGAACTGATGCTGTGAAAGAGTCATAAGTGATTTTAGACCTTATTTAGGGGTCTTGATAAGCATCCAGCAATATCCAGTCAAACAATCCTTGCATTGAGTTATGAAATGAGTAACAGTGACCCAATGACTTGAAACAATTGGCGTGTCCAATGACTTGAAACATGCAGTCGGATGATACTTCCAGATACTTCATACTTCCAGATAAATCCATACAGGATATGGATTATGTGCGCTCGACTGTAATAACAGTGGAGCGCACATAATCCATATCCTGTATTCCTACGATAATGTGGCCGATTTCATTGTATGTATGATTTATCAGTGTGATCTCATTAGTAGTTGAAGGTATTCATATGTAAATTGTTGTTCTAGTAGGGCACTAAAATGTACATTATATTAATACATGGGTATACTTATGAAGTTCATAGAATTTTGAATTAATGGAAATAATATGTTGATTTTTTAATTAAATGTTAAATGTCATCACAATTTTTAATGCCATTTTTAATGATAATTTCATTCCGTTCTGTGTGATTTCTAATGTTTTATTATATATAGATAGTTAAACAAAAATCTAAAATAAATTGAGAAGTAATTAGGATTGTTATAGGTGTGTGGTTAGGGGCTCAAAAATATGTTTATAAAAGAAAATATAATTTAAAGGATTTGTAAAGGTTTTGTAGTTTCTAAAGAAATTTTTACATGCTGTCAGTACATCCATTGTGCATTACAGTTTATATCGAAACGTTTTAAACTGTGTGTAAATGTTCTGTACGAATAGCTTTGAATATGAATGAGATCAGGCTGAAATGATACATTATATTCAGTAAATAAAATATTAAATGATATGAAATATAAACTGTTGCACTTCATATAACATATTCCTTTCCGAAATGTTAATTTTTAGCAGCAAAACCTGATTCATTGTCACAGTTGAATGGCATGTCATCTTTACTTGAATTATATCTCATTTGTGATTAGATTTTCAAAAGCTTTTCAAATAACCAGTAATGCAGGACATCCCGCGGTGTGATAAAATCAGTGTGAACGAGCCTTGAGACTGAAATCTTAATCACCCCTGTCCAAATGTACAGCTTATCTTTTCTGTCTCCAAAAAGTGTGCCAGAAAATCCCAAAAGCCCAATCTGATTTAGGAGGATTGAATTCCTAGTACCAATTCGGCCCAGTCTTTAGATTTAGACAGAAAGAAGTGAAAGTCAGGCAAATGTAGAATAACTGCAATAAAGAAAGATAGATAGAGAAGAAAACCTGGGTACTGATTTCAGTAACTAGCTGAACTCAAGCCAGCTCCTCCCTCCCCATTTCCGGGTACCTCCATTTGCACATTCAATGCTCTTCCACGCCTGTTACTCAGTACAAATAAACAAGCCTAATGCGGATTTGGAAATGCTGTATGTATGTGTGTATTAAGTTTCTTGTTTCAAAAGAAACAAAAGTATGGTGGGTGGAAAGGAGGGGAATGTTTCCACCATGCAAAAAAGGCAGCATGAAGTCCGCCGAAAGGGAGGGAGCCGGGCTGCTTTTGTTGTATCCAGAATTCCCTATCTTTACCAGTTGACACAGTATGGGAACTTGCCAATGCCTGTATAGTCGCAGCCTCTCGCCTCCCAACTTTTTTCTCCCTAGTTTTTTTTTGTTCCAACTGCATTTGGACTGCTCCAGACTGGGGGAAGTTCTTCTCCAATTGTCTCATTTGAAAAGGACGAAGAAATCAACCCCTCCCTCTCTCCTTTTCTTCCCTCCCTCCCTCCACTCGTCCTCTCTCTCTCCCTCTCTGTTCTTCTCTCCATCCCCTCCCCCCGTGACAGAGCACACCTGCCTGATCTTGGCTGCAGGCATCCACACAGTGATCAGCCTTCGGCCTGCCACGCTGTACATCAGCTCCAGCCCTCTCTGGATTTGCGGGTCTTTGTCTGCAGCTCTACACGCTCCTGTACGTGCAGGTAAGATCAGCTCACCCAAAGCTCTACCCTTAACCCTTCTGAGTGATGAAAAGCAGGGATTTTGATTGACAGAACAGACTGACCGTCTCAAAGAGAGGTGGACGGTTTGCACTGATGAAATGTGAGTATCACCCCTCTGGAATCTCAGTTTGGTGATTTCTGCAGTTCATTAAGGCTTGGTGCAGAAATGAAGACTTTGCATTGGAAGTTTTGAGTGAATTTGCTTAATTCTGGCATATCCTAGATTAATTAATTCAAGATACTGAATGCAAATGAGAGAATACATGAGTGAATCGATGATAAAAATGCATTTATTTTAGCTTCCTGCATTTTTGTACCTTGTTAATAGCTGTGGGTTTGCATGTGGATTAAGGTGCTTTGGTTGCATTCTGATGAGAAAACCATCCTTTGTATTTCAAGCTAGAAAATTGTGTTTATGCAAATTGATTGCCGATGTCATTTTCTTTCTGGTTTGGTTGGAGAGGACAAGACCTTTTCAGACTTTTCCAAATTGTGACAAGTATCCCTGCTCTTTGAAACCCCCACACATACTCGCTGTTGTGAAAAAGCCATTAACTTTTCGAGGGCCCTTACTCGCTTTGCTCCGACTTTTCCATCCTGGTTTTTTTTCCTTTTGTGTGCTACTTGGCATTTAGAAAGAATTCATGTAAGGCCTGGAAACACTAGAGGATTTCTAACAGCGCCTTCCTCAGATAGACCTGTCTGGGGAGACGTTCTGTCCTCTGGCCTCGCTCTGCATCTGCTTGCCTCCACTCGCTCCAGAAGTCGCATCCTAAACACTTTATCCGTGGCTTGGAAGCCAAAGTGCCTTGAGCCATATCAGCTGAAGGATGATAGCACTCTGAAGGAGAAAAGAGAGATGGAGAGAGTGAGCGCGTGGGACTGGTGTCTCATTAATCCTTTAATGATATAACTTCCTTCCAATGGCAGGCAAGTCTGACAAGGCACTTCCTGGTAATCCCACCACCAAATTCCCAGCTAAATTAAAATATTCAGGGTGGGCGGGGCTGTAGACAAAGGTTTAGACTAATTCAACAGGCATTTCGGGTTTTAAAAGTTGGGCTAATTGGGTCATGTATTTCTCTTTGGTTGGGGTTCGATTTGGGGTTGGGTTTAAGGTTAGAGAATGCTTCTCTTTTGTATGGCTTACAACTTGCACTAATTGCAAACAGAACTCAAGTACACAGTTTGTACCATGACAGGAAACTCTCGTCCCTCTCTTCCTCCCTTCAAAAGACAGCGTCCTCGGGCCATGCAATAAGTATTCTTTGGAAGCAAAAGGTCTCCATTTGGCTCCAACTATTTGATGTTAGAAAGAGAGAGTAATTTAATGGTAGCCATGCTGGTCGCTGCCGCTTTTTCCTTTTCTTATTTGCCTTTTAACCCTTTGAGAAAAAGACTTTGGAGCTTTGGACCAAAGTCAAAGCAGTTGCTTATGACAGATAGGCAGTTGCCTTGGAAAAAGGAAGTGGGAGGATGATTTAAAGAGTGCTTGAATATAAATGTGAGCAACTGGGATTGTCTTAGATCGAGCATATAGTTATAGTCATGAGTTTGATCCTTTTTTTCAATAATCAGCTGGCCTTCAGCATAAAATTGCTTATTCACCATCTGAATAACTTTTTGTGGCTTTCGGGTAGGTGCTTTTGAAGACAACCATGTTTGATGGGTTTAACCATGGTTTTGATCTGTGAGAAAGTCTAATTGTGCTTTGGCAGTGGCTTTGGAGTTTAGGAGTGCAGTTTGTTGAGCTGAATATTAAGTCCACATTTTTAGGCTTTTGCACATTGAGTATTATGTCTTTTTGTGCTTTTGTTTTGACACATGACTCATTGGAATGAGCATATAATTACATTTCTGAACCATTCTCTCAGTGTTTGAGTAATTCTGGATATTTTAGAGCTTTCAGTGGAGGAATGCTTTCATAAATAAAAGGCAGGTTTTGGGGTGCAATGATAAAACTGGTCTATGTGTATGTTTTCAAATGAAGGGAGCACACATGTTTTAAATGTCCTGTAGCCTGTAAATACCTTTCTGTGAGTCATTGCTGAAAGGAGCAACAGGTCAATGTGTGTGTGTGTGTTTGTATGTGTGTGTGAACAGAGAAGAAAGTGAGATATGTAGAGCTGCATTCTATTTTCATACAATTTTCATTATTTTAATGAGTGTTTGCTACCAAATGCCAGTATGCATTTCTTGTTTTAAGCATAAACTTTTTAAGCAAAAAGACTTTTTTTTTTTTTCAGAAAACAAGACTTATTGCCTTTTATGTAATTTTACTTCTGAAATAAATATATGTTGATTTAGGACTGTTTAGATATTCATACAGGAAAACAAGACAAAAATACTAAAAAAATATTTCTCTCTCTCTTTTTTTTTTTTGCATACAATTAACTGCAATGGATAATTCTAATGTTTATGTACATGTTCTATTACTACTACTACTTAATAAACAGTAACATAAACACTGAGTTTGATCACATGGCTTCATCTGCCACCACACTATGCCATAAATCACTTATAGTGCTTTGAATATGTCAACCTTTCTTAGACATAATGCTGTCTGAATAATACAGTACAAAACTATAATTACTGAACAAACTAATGTCACACTTCTGTAATATATACACCTGTAGTGGAGCAGTCTTGAGATTAAACTCAAATTTAGTGTGTGTAGGTGTGTATGTATACAACATATCAGCTATTTATGTTAGTTGTGCTGTTAATCTGCACTATATTATTTATTGCTATAAAACATTTTATCAATGTCTTTAGGTTCTCAAGTTTATCTTGTTTTAAGAATGTTTGCAGCAAGACAAGATTTGGTTGATTGAGGGAGAGAAAAGGAGTGTCAACCCTCCCTTTTTTCTCTGCTGAGACAAATCAGACCTGCTGTGACACAACTCAGACCTCAAGATCCTGAAAGACAAGAAGGTAGAAATGCTTGGAAACTGAGAGACCTAGAATGAGAGGAAAAGTGGACATTTTTCTGTCTCCTCTTGATTATTATAAGTCCACATTTATAAGACCAGAAACAGGCGAGTGCTGATTTTGGGTTCTGTGAAACACTTCAGTTGGATCAGATTGTTGCCTCACCCGCAGACGGGGAGAAATCAAAGCCGAAGGCCTGTAACAACCTGGCAGAAGCTGATAGTTAGGCACAGAACTGTCTGGGAAAAATCACATCTCAAGTTTATTTAGAATCAGTTCTGATAATTGTTGACGCATTGAGCCATATGACACTGGTCCATTGGTTCCTGAGAGGAACACAGCATCCTTTCTGTTGAGTCGTTTTTTTTGGCTACATTCTCTTTGATATGATCTGCAGATCCAAGTAGTGTGAACTGAGAAAATTTACCAGCCTTAAATTACTCTTACCAGCCATGAATTATTATTTTAATTTCATTTTTAAACCATGTATAAAAACAATGTACAGATAAATGTATAAAAATATCTAGATAATTTTTTTATATATTTTTTAATTTTTATGTATAATCAAATATTAGAAATCACGGAATGACTATTATATTATGTTATTGACACTGAACATGTTTAATCACACTGATTAAACTATTGATTGCATAAATTCAATATTTAATGAATCTTAAAGGATTCATGAATATTTGTAGCTCTCTGAAGTTGTTTATTCACAAAAGGCTTATATTTAGACCCTGTCAATATAATAACATTTATAATTCAGTGTCTATGCAAGCATATAAAAATGCATGTGTGCTAGAACCAAACTTGACCTACAAATACCCCTCATTAGTAATGAGAACTTATTGCATGTTCACATTCCTTCATGTGATTACCAATTTATTTATTTGCCAAAAGCCTATTTTTATTCCTGTTTTGTGTTTGGAGAATGTGAACTTTGTGCCCTGCCTGTTTTTTCCCAGCAAAGTTATGACACCATCAGTCTGTCTTGTCTGTTTGCCTGGCTCTCATAGCAGCCTGCGGTTTGTTGACAGGACACAACTCAATTGCAGCAACAGCTTCCCATGATCCCCCTGCAAACAGAATCGCTCATGGTGACAGCCTGTAATGCTCAGAGGGCTTTTCATACTGCTGACCAACTCCTGAGGCTCTAAACACATACTGTGGCTTCATTCCTGATGGGAATACATATAGAAGAAAGGGTTTGTGCAGCTCAACTGGTAGAGCATGGCGCAAGGTCATGGGTTCAATTCCCAGGAACACACAAGCATAAAACTACCTTGAATGCACTGTAAATTTACCACATGCTTAAATGTTAAAGGGCAAAGTGATACTGCAGTGTGTTTGCGCAAAGCGTCTTATTGCCCACTGGGTCAAAGGTAATTAAAGGTGTCTGAAGTGATGCATATTGTATCCAGGCCTGAAAACGTAGCATTAAATCAAATAGCATGTCTAAATTGAGGTTGGCAAGTTGTTGTTTTGAAATGCCACTGAATAAAACAAAAATTTCTCATTGTTTTTCTTGAAACATGGATACTGGTTGAGCTGTAGGAACCTCAGAAAATTGTTTCAACGTGCTCTCCCATGATGCAAATCAAGAAATCAGAGGTTGAAAGTCACTTGCCATGCTTTGCAGGAGTTTTCTTCTGAGACTTCTAAGTTAGTCTTTTGAGAGAAACTGTTATATTTACACTTTGTGTGCTTGTAGATAATTGCGAATATTCATAATTGTTTTTATACGTCATAAGTATTTTTATGGTTCCTGAAATATGTCACAAACTTCATCTTATTTAGATCTGCACTAAGATTGAATGTATGTATCATTGCCTTCTCTTGCTTGAGAAATGAAGAAAAGCTCTTTTCCAGAGGTTTGTCAAGGTCAGTTTCTGGGTTTCCAGAGTTTAACAGGGGCACAGTGGTTATTCGCTGTCCAAGTGACGTGGCCGCCCGGAGGATTTGAACTACTGTAATTATGCTGTATGTTGATTACATGGACCTGAGATGACCCTGTAAAGTCGAACTGAGCTCTGGGAGTTTCTGTACCTACTTTACAATTTCCTCGTCGTTCAGAGACATCCAGCTACTCCTCAGACATATGTTTATGTATTATGCTTGTGGACTGATTTGTGCACTCTATCTGAAACAGAAGATGGTTATTTTTTATTATGAATGAGGGCATGAATGAGTTTGGTTATGCAGTTTAAACCCAGGTCAACTATCAATTCTCACTGATATAGTGTGCATGGTTGTCATTTTAACAGTGTATAGCAGAAGTTTTCAAATTTCAGGGGGCTACATGGATATGTCAGTTTAACCCAGTGTTTTAAAAAAAACTTTTATAGAATTTAATATTATTACCGTTTAATTTTTATTTCTAACAACTGTTTGCAAATTTATGAGTTTAATTACAATTTATTTAATCTATAGACAAGTTTTTTCATGCAATAAAAGTTTTTTTTTTTCTTTCTTTCTTTCTTGAAAAAAGTTATACATTTAATATTACTGGTAGAAAAAAACACTGTCAGCTTAATACAATTAATGTTCACCAGATAATATTTGGATAACTTGCTTTGACTTTGTAACATGATCCTTCAGAATTCATTATAAAATGCTGATTTGGAGCTCAAGAAATATTTATTATTGTTATCAAACAGTTGTGCTGCTTAGCTGTGCTCTTCGATGATTACTGTAGAAAGTTCAAAAGAACAGCGTTTATTTGAAATATAAATCTTTTGTGACATTGTAAATGTCTTTACTGCCATTTTTGATCAAGTGAATGCATCATTGCTAAAAAAGTATTAATTTCTTTAAAAAAGTAGTTTTGATAAATCTTTGATTTTGGGTGTCTTTGGCAAAAAGTTTGGCAATCCCTAGGTTTACAGCATTTAATAAGATGATTCCCTTATTTATAAATAATAGTAGTGACTGAAAATGTATGAAGCACATTTCGGAAGAATGTTTCATTAAATTAAAGTTCATTTTAAATAATTTATTACACCCACTGCGGTATACTGTGTTGTTCATAATTCAATTTATCTCAGTCTTATTTTATTAAATATAATCAAATGCATTTAGTCATATAAAGCTAACCATCAGTCTAACAGCATGAAAAGCCGCAGCAATAGCCACCAGAGACCTCTAAAATCTAATATAGACCTAAATTTGACCCCTGACCTCTGCCTTGTTATCGCCCACATTGCTCAGTCACATTCATGCACCCTACATCTGTCATTTGACTTTTAACCTCTCACCATCACAGATCCTGAGATGCCACCCAGCATATTGCCCCTCACCTTTAACCCTTTCTCTTCTCCATTTTAGCCTCCAGGCCTCCATCAGCAACATGAAATCGGCCTGTCTCTCCCTGCTTTTGGTGTCTGTATGCTGGGCTCTGCCCTTCCGTCAGTCTGGCTTTATGGACTTCATGATGGAGGACGAACCGGGCTCAGGTTCACCCATGCCTCCGACTCGTAAACCACCCATTCAGACGCCTCCTGTGCTACCCGAGGAACCTGATGGACCTTTCTGCCCCTTCCGGTGCCAGTGTCATCTGCGAGTGGCCCAGTGTTCTGACCTAGGTAAAGACTTCATGATACTAGACTAGACTGCTTGATGAAAGCTGCATAGGCCTATTTGACACTTTTTTTTTTTTAAGTATCACCGTCAGTGTTTCTGGCTGGATGTGGGCAATGATCAATGACAAAAACAAACTTGATAGCATTTAGCAGTAAAACCACAGACTGTAACAGTTTGTTAGCTATCTGTATGATAGCCTACTTATTGTTCATAAAACTGGAAAGTACTTTCTCTGGCAAGCTGTAATTTAAAGGTGAAGTATGTAATATTGACAGCTAGTGGTTGAAATGGGCACAGCAGTCCAATTTCAAAATAATAGAGACGGTTGTTTCTCCCTCCTCCTCAGACTTGACGCTCATGTGGGTTGCCAGATTAAGGACACCTAACAGAAACAAGCACAATTGACAATAAAAGGCAACAAACCTTACGCCGTTAGGTGATGAGTTGGATTATCTGCATTTTAACATGACTCTGGTCATAGAGTGTTTTATATGGATGCTGAGGCTTTTTAAGTCGGGTAGAATCTACGATCTCTGACCCAGTTTGTTTGTTGGATTCCGTGTCTGCAATACGCTGTGTTTTCTGCCGATTGGCAACCCGGTGTGTCGGAACACTCAAACAACTGCCTTGATACCCCCCCAGGACATCCTTGTAGTCACTTTGCAATGCCTGGCAACCCAGCAGCACACTAACAACCACATAGAATCAAATAGAAACTGCCTAGCAATACTTAGCAACACCCTAGCAACCACACAGAACACTCAAACACCTGCTTTGCTTGCCCCCAGGACATCCTGGTAGCCGCCTCTAGCAACCCAGCAACACACTAGCAACCCACCTAGCAATGCCTTAGTAACACCATAGCAACCACCTAGCAATGCCCTAGCAAGCACACAGAACACACAAACGCCTGCCTTGCAACCCCCAGGACATCCTTGTAGCCACCTTGCAATGCCTAGCAACCCAGCAACACACTTGCAACCACATATAACACAAAAGAAACTGCCTAGCAATGCCTTAGCAACACCCTAGTATCCCCTTAGCAACACCCTAGCAACCACACAGAACACTCAAACACTTGCTTTGCTACCCCTCAAGACATCTTTGTCAACACACTAGCAACCACCTTGCAATGCCTTAGCAACAACATAGAAACCACCTAGCCATGTCTTTGCTACACCATAGCAACCACCTAGCAACCACACAGAATGCTCAAACACCAACTTTGCTACCAGAAAAACATCCTTGTAGCCACTTTGAAATGCCTAGCAACCCAGCAACACAACAGCAACCGCCTAGCAATGCCTTAGCAACACCCTAGCAACACGCCAGAACAACCTAAAAGCCCTAGAAAATGTCTAGCAATCTATCGAATGGTCCTATTTGTCTGACCTGAAAAACCTTCAAACTGCCTAGCAACACCCTAGCAACCCCACAAGCAACCCTCAAACAGTAACCATCTAGCAACACGCTTGGAACAACCCAGAACAACCTGGCAAAGCCCTAGCAGCCACCCACAACTCCCTTGCAAGTCCTATTTGTCTGACTGTTTGATCTACAAAACCTTCAAATATTGAGCTTGTAAAATTATTTTAAAATTTTCTGAAAAGGCTTTGTCAAGCCAATATCAAAGTTTGTCTTTATCTATTTTTTTTTCATGCTGCTTAATATGTGTCATTGTTTTGCTTTCCATTTCCACTGTTTACACCTGATGTCAATTATTTCACAGCATAAACTGTCCAAGGCCAAGCAGCCACAAACAAAACCTCTCTCTCTGTTTGATCTGCCCATTGTTGAGTCATCATTGAATTACTAATGTCACCGTTTCAAAACCACTTTAAATGTTTTCATATGCTGTTAACTGCCCTCACTTCCGTACACGACTAGGCGCTAACCACCAGACGGCTGCCTCATTTTCTTAATTGAATCCCCAGGCGTGTATGTGTATGTTAATACTTGAAAAAGTCTAGTCTGTTCTTTTATGAGGTTACTTCCAAATGATTACCACTTCTCTTCCTGTAAAACTGCCCTGTCTGCTATGTCACTGTGATCTACACAGAAAAGAGTCAGAGTATTGTATTAAAATTGGACATGATTATGTAATATTTACAGCATTATAAATTTACAGAACATAGTCAAGAAGGGTTAATAAAACATTTCCCAGCATGATTTATTATGTAATGTAGTGTAACTGAGTTGCTGTAGCATGTTGTCTCAGTTAGCATAGCTTTTTCAAACAGGAAATTACTTAGAGGTTTGTGTGATAAACAGAATGTCTGTTTGGAAAGAAATACTGTTGACCAGGCAAAACAGCAGTTCTCAATAATCCATTTGCAATGTTAACACTCAACCCCAGTTAAAATGGACAGGGAAAGAACGAGAATGAAAATGGGATAAGAACAAAGACAAATAAGAGAAGAGTGAATATTTGAGGACTTCAGCGCTCATCTGCTCTGCAGGTCTTTTGGCATGAAACAGACCTGGAAAAGAATGGAGGTGGGGGGATAGGTGTGCCGACAGGCCTGTTCTCCATCTAACTTCCCCTCTTTCCAGTCAAATATGTGACCCAGTTTATATAGCTCTGCAGCTGCAGGGAAAACCATCTGGAAATAGTGCCAGAACCCAAGAGCAACTAATGGCAAAAATTTATTTGTTTGTCTAGGAAAGTTTGATTAAGGGCCTGCTTGTGTTTTTACTTGCTGACAACAGGCTGTAAGTGTGAGATACTCCTCTTTTAGGTACCAGTTGATATGAGGTTAGTATTTCTTGTATGTTACAAGTGGGATAAGTGTAAAATAGTCGGTGTTAGGTAATGGTCCACATTGTAGTGTGATTTACATTATAAAATTCTTGTGGATTAAATTAAAGTGACGTGACATGTGGCCAAGTATGGTGACCCATACTCGGAATTAGTGCTCTGCATTTATCCCATCCAAAGTGCACACACACAGCAGTGAACACACACACAGCAGTGAACACACACCCGGAGCAGTGGGCAGCCATTTTTTTTGCTGCGGCACCCGGGGAGCAGTTGGGGGTTCGGTGCCTTGCTCAAGGGCACCTTAGTCGTGGTATTGAAGGTGGGAGAGAGCGCTGTACATTCACTCCCCCCACCTACAATCCCTGCCGGTACGAGACTCGAACCCGCAACCTTTGGGTTACGAGTCCGACTCTCTAACCATTAGGCCACGACTTCCACTTCCACTTCCAACCGCCTCCCATGTTTTTATTCTTCTCACCAATAAAAGTAGGAATGAGTTTAGCATCCATGAGTCTATTAATGATGGCTTTGTGTTTTTCTCCACTCTTGATTTTGATTCAGTTGCTGATTTCAGTGGCTAAATAGTATTTCTAACCACAGAGGACCATTTGTTTTTGAATAGTTTAACATTCTGATTATTTTATTGCCATTTGGGTTAAAATTCTAACATGTTTACTCAAATTGAGTTTTTTATTATGTTATTAGTGCTTTTTTGATAATATATTCCTTAATTGATTGCTGTGATTTTGGCTGAGACATGTAGCCATTAGAAAATGAGACTAAAAAGAGCCAAACGAAAGGAACATTTGGGAGATATCTCAACAGCAGTGATACGTCCAACTGTGATCTCTGTGTCCTCTGTCCTGTTGTTATATAATTATCAGGAACATATTCTTAAACTGTTTATACACATGCAGTGATGAGGAAACTCACCACAAAACAAAACCAAACATTGTTTGTGTGAGGTTCTGCCTAAAAAGCTTTTAGAGTTGCTAGAGCCGATATATTTATGTGTATGTATGTGCATGTGTGTTTACCTATTTTTTCCTGTGTTTTTCTTATGTTTGAAGCAAACATTTTGATACACAGTGGCCCCCGAAAAGCTTTTGGACACTTAAAACAAATAAAAAAAAATATTTATTCACAAATACATTTTTTTTTTTTTACATTTCAAACAAAACATGCTTGTGCTGTTTTTATTCAAAATATATGCCACTTGGTTTGATATTTTTGTTATATAATGCAAAGACATTCCTACAAATGGAAGTGTGGCTTAAGTGTCTAAATACGTTTTTGTTTTCACTGCATATTCCATTCATGTAGCTTGGTCTGCAGCACATTAAATGAAAGCAGAGGCATACTGTCGTCCAATGTTGGCAAAATCAAACTCCCCTTGTGTGGAAATCTTATGTCAGCTTTTTTGATTGACAGCATCGTACAGCTTTTATAATCCTTCCAAGAAAAACTGTGAGATATCTGGCATAAGAGTCATCTATGATTAACTCAGTGAACTTTCAGCACTGTTTCGAAATACTAAAACTTACGTGAACCATCATCATAACTTCTCACTGTGTTACATTCTGGAAATGTGGTCCAGCATCCAATTGCACATTCAGACTTTTTTTTAGTCTATGGAGTCGAGGGCTTTGTAAGGAATTGATTCATTATTCATTTTGATGCTGTTTTCAGTATTTTAAGTGTTATTTTGTAGTTGTACTCATTATAAACCTGACTGCTCAGGCCCTGTAGCTAATGAAGTATAATTTTTATTTTATTTTATTTTATTTTAAATAATTTATTAATTTAGATTATGAGATGAATAAAGAAAGAGGAATATAAATTAATTAGTTCTTTAGTAATGTTTTATTTATAATGAGATATTTACAATTAAACCTTTTTTTTGTCCCTTTTTAGCCTAGGTACAGACTTTTTATTTTTATTTATTTATTTAAGAAATTCTTCTTGTTACACATGTAGAATGGTAGCTCATAAAAGTTAATAGAAATATTTCTATAAACGGTTTTGTCTATACAATAACGGCTGGAGCTCATCCAAAACCAAGACCACTCCAGAGTTCACATTCTTTCTGCCATTTATATGTTTTTCAGGAATGTGGCTATTCGATTTAGCACCACAATTTACACTCTTGTAGGATTTTTTTTGTCCGTATCTGAGTGTCTTCTGTTGGTGTTGGACCAGGATCCATATGTCTACAGTTGATGAGATTTCAAAGTAGATTCTAGCCATAAAAGCCCAGATCAGCTCATATCCCATTTCATCAGTGCCGTTTTTCTTACTACTTGTGGTATTTGTGTCTCTCAGGTCTGAAGAACGTTCCAGAAAAAATTCCACTTGATACCACTCTCCTGGATTTGCAGAACAACAAGATCTCAGAGATCAAAGAAAACGACTTCAAAGGCCTCAAGGGTCTCCAAGTGAGATATTCAATTACTCACTCTTTCCCTTGTTCTCTCTCTTTTTTTAACTGCATTTTCTTTAATTGTCTAAATTGGATCGTAGAAGCAATGACATTTCTCAATCCCCTTTTAAATCCAAGTAACCCCTCATGGGACAAATCCTATTTCACTTATATATACATTTTGAGATCAATTGGCTGCTTGCTGCTGATAACTGGAAGTGACAGCGTGATGTTTTTGCTATGACCTTGAAAGCATCAATTAAACACAGAGAACATAGAGTCCAAATCAAAGCCATTTGTGAGCTGAAAAAATCTCCAGAGAAAACTGTCGTTTGTCTGCCAAATGTGGAATTAGGTACTAAAACTATGTTTTGCAACCACAGCAATCTTTGAAGGCAAATATCTGCTCCAATTTTTCGAAAACACTGCAAAAAATTCTCTGGAGATCTTCAGAAACACTTTACAAAACAGAGCTTCAGAGAAACTCATAATCCGGAATATGAAATCCTCCGTGTTTCCAATCCATTATCTCCAGAAGACAGCTCTGAGTGTGAGAAATGTGTCATTCCCACATGGCGCCTGGATCTAATGAAAGATGAATGCAAACAGAACATAAAAATGATGATTTTTTTCACTGGAATGTACTATAGATTATACCAAGTAGCTAGTGAACTTTATATGACTGAATGTCAGGGGTGAAAACAATATTACAGACTTGAACACAAATACTGGAACAACTTTAGGTTGAGTAATTAAAACTTTTGCATTTAAACACTAATAACTAAAGAATTATACCAATAATACCATTTGCAGTCATGTAACTGCCATAAGGTTCCTAAAGGAATGACTTTTTTTTTCTTCAGACACTCATCCTGGTCAACAATAAGATCACCATGATTCATGCCAAGGCCTTTTCTGCTCTGATCAATCTGGAGAGACTGTACTTGTCCAAGAACCTCCTGAAGGATGTTCCTGCTAACATACCGAAAAGCCTCCAGGAGCTGCGTATTCACGAGAACCAGATTAACAAGATAAAGAAGTCCTCATTTGCCGGCATGGCCAATGTCATCGTCATGGGTAGGGATTTTTGTCTGTGCTTATTAGAAAACATTATTAGAAACAGTGTAACAATACTGCAATATGAACCCGTGAACATGTTGACTCTGTCTTGTTTCAGAGCTGGGCTCGAACCCTCTGAGTAGCTCTGGAGTTGATAATGGTGCTTTTGCTGATCTGAAGAGGGTTTCTTATATCCGAATTGCTGACACCAACATCACCTCCATTCCCAAAGGTACAGAATCATCCCTATTGTGAATAATGATGGAGGCCCCTTTCACTTCAGTGAATTGTATCAATACAACATCATTGTTTTTTCATTAATCTGTGTCAAAAATGTTCAGGTCTGCCCAGCTCTCTGTTTGAACTTCACTTGGATGGTAACAAGATCACCAAAGTGACTGCAGGCAGTCTGAAGGGCCTCAAGAACCTGTCCAAGTAAATGCATATCTCTTCTTAATATATTTGTAATTTGTTATGCAAACAAACAGTTGATTTTCCTTCATGGCAGACTTGAAGAGTCTGCATGGAAACAGCTAAATATGTTTCTGAAAAGCTCAGCAAAATCTGACTCCGAAAGGAAAGAGTTTGATACAGAGGAAATAATAATTCAGATTTCATTAGGTTTGTTTTGAATTTGCATGAGAACGACCCTGTGAGACTCAAATACCATGACATCATTGAATGGATCAGTTTGCTTTGGATCACACAGAGAAATTAGAACATTCATATTACAGAGATTTTCCACCGCACATGCCGAGATGTTATAAAAGACTATTGACTCAGACTTGAGTTGAGTTTGTTAATGATGGTAACACAGTGTGTGTTTGCAGGCTGGGTCTGAGCCACAATGAGATCAGCGTGGTGGAGAACGGTTCTCTGGCCAACGTGCCTCACCTGAGGGAACTTCATCTGGACAATAACATGCTGACTACGGTCCCGTCTGGCCTGCCAGACCACAAATACATCCAGGTGAGAGATCTCACACAAGTTAACATGCCATTTCCACACGTCTGTAAGTCACACGTTGTCACGCTCTCGTTCCATCAATTCCAGGTGATCTACCTTCACGCCAACAAGATTGCTGCAGTGGGAACAGAGGACTTCTGCCCACCCGGCTATAATACAAAGAAGGCCATGTACTCAGGCATTAGCCTGTTCAGTAATCCAGTGCCCTATTGGGAGGTCCAGCCGATCACCTTCCGCTGCGTCTTCGACCGCTCGGCCATTCAACTGGGCAACTACAGAAAGAAATAGAGCGTCCCTTCAGATGGCTTAGTCACTGTTTTCATCCCGCCCCTTCCTGTCTTACCTAATCCTTTCAAGCACATAATTTAGTTTGAATGTCTTATCTCAGTTAACCCGAAATAAACTACAATTCCATTTTCAACAGGCAGTTTACTGGACAGATACCACACGATGCTTTCAAATAGCCAAATGCATATCATTATTGTACTGAACATACATATTGTGTTGATATAAGTGCAGAGGAGAGCAGAAAATGTACGATTTTGAAGAAAATAAAAATAAAGAAAGTAAAGCCATGACCACTTAGAATATCCAATAGTGCACATCACCCGAAATGATCTTTTTTGAAGGTCCGTTTGGATCTTCTGGACCTAAGCCATGTTCTTCTATGTTCTTCGCTGGCCTGCAGAGCGGGCAGCAAGGGGTTAACACATGTCAGCCAGTGCCAATAACAAGAGCTTGTATGCTAGAATGTACTCAGATATTACTTTCCGTGTTGCGCTAGTTCAGATTGTGCTGTTAAAAATCGTTGTTCATTCTCACGCAATGGATTGAAGTGAGAGGAAGTTGGGCTGTATGAGTTTCTCTTCGTCTCAATTCAGATGCTTTGGTGACATTTGTGTTCATTAGTTTCCTCAGATCCCGTCCGCTCTACCCAAGTGAACATAGCGCTTCAAGATGTAGAATAAACTATGTTGTCATTACGACGAAAGTGATTCCCAAACTAGCATGCTTTTGCTGCTCTGGTGACTGCCGTGTTATGTGCGAGCTTGTTTTTTTGTACGTGTGTTTCTTTCTTTTTTCGTGTTTGTTGATCATCTGTGTTTTTCAGTCTGGAAGGATCGGGAGGGAGACGACGGACATGGACACCTCCTGCTTTCATGAGAGTCATGAATGTCTCTTGTATAAACGCTGTATATATACGCTGTATAAAAGAATCCTATTAATGCTTTGAAGCACAAGCACTTACAGTAGTTTGGACTTTAATATATCGGCAATAAAGGTAATCCCTTTCTTCTCTCTCTCTTTTTCTCTCTCTGGCCAATTGAGGGCTCCGACACAGGTGTCTTGAACCAAATAAACAGTCAAATCTCTCACCGTGCTTTCATGGGAACTTTCACTGGGTGGTTTACTGGGTTTGTTCGGGCACAGGGTTGGTTTTCAGGTAAATGAAACCGAATGATGCCTCAAAAGAACACACAGGACAAATTTTCTTGGATGGATGCTACAGTCGCAGAGGGCCTTGAAGAGCTACGGTAAAAATGTCACGTTTGTGTGCTAGGTGTCAAACAAAACTCAGTTTGTGTCATTTATATGAATTATACAACCATTGCTCAGGTTAAAACACTAAGGACAAAATTATATATTTTTTTCAATGTTAAAGCCCTTTTAGGGATCCATTTCTAAGTCAATCCAAGGAACAAAGGTTTTCTGAGCCTTTTATGTGGCCATTTTATTGTGTCCAAAAACAGAAAATAGGCCTACAAAATAAATTAAGTTATGGTTGTTTTTTTGTTTGCAATAAGACATTCAGTCCTTTTAATTGAGTGGTTTCATATCCTTTAATTCATCTCAATTTTCTGTTTTGAAACTGAAGTATTATTCTTACTCTGTATTTTGTTTGTCTGATATAGAAATTGCAGGTTTTACAAATAATAGTTGCAATTGTGTCATCTCACTGTCACCACTGCAGACAAATGCAGTTTCCTGGTCGACCATAAACAGACCTTATGAAAATTAAAAAATAGTCATGAGTCTCTTTAAACACAGGGATTAACTGTTAGGATGGAAGTTAATAGTAGCCTTTGTGGACATGAAAAATATGATAGAATTTACTGATTTGATAATGACGAACGCTCTAGGCAATATATGAATCAGGCACTTCAGAAGACGGAATAGAGATGCTGAAAATGTAAGTTAAGATTATTTTTGGTTTAGGTAAATTCTTCAATCAACTATGAAGAATGCAATGAAATGGTAAGACATTGAACAGTAACAAATAAATACTTTTATGTCTTCTAATTTTCATATCTATATGTTGGGATCATTTTCATATAGCAGAATTTTTTTAATTCATTAATTTCATAATATATCCACCAGGTTCTCTCTCGTTTCTGTTTAGTGCCCCCTTGTGGATTATTTTGTGCTGTACGATTTTGAGTTCTCTCTCAGTTCATACACATTTAGCTGTCATATGAGCTTTAATAATTAAGCTCCTCCTCCAGAACTCAACTGTAAAGCGCAGTGTGTGTGTGTGTGTGTGTGTGTGTGTGCGTGCGTTTTTGTGACAAAAAAATATTGTGACAATATAAATTTGTATAATGACAAAGGTATGACATAGGTATTACAAGGAGAAGGTGACTTTTCAGGACATTACCCCATGTCCCCACTTTTCAAAACACTTATAAATCACACAGAATGGAGTGTATTGAAAATCTGAAATAGCACAAAGTTTCCTGTAAGGGGTAGGTTTAGGGGTAGGGTTGGTGTAGGGCAATAGAATATACGGTCTGTACAGTATAAAAACCATTACGCCTATGGAATGTCCCCCTTTTCACAAAAACAAACGTGTGTGTGTGTGTGTGTGTGTGTGTGTGTGTGAGTGAGAGAGTGAGAGATGGAGAGGACACAGTGTGGGATTGTGTATGTGTAAATATATGAGTGTGTGTGCCAGAGAGCTAAGTGTATGAGAGGTATATTTAACAACTGTGGCAGTTTAAAGCATCTCTTCTTACTTGAGGGAAAAGGCTAATATCACCACACTGCACTGGACAAGAGCTTTACAGTGAGTGGAGCAGAGGTGGGAATAAAATTAATAATAAAATGATTATTATTTATATAAATTAAAAATGGCCAATTTAAAATTTTCCAAATGGCATGTTTATTAATTATGTTGATTTAAGAAGTATAAATATCACCCATAATCATATATCTACACCAAAGGACAATGTTTTATATCTACACAGTTTTCTGTGAAAGCCTGTTGCCTGCCTTTAAAAAAATATTTAAATAAGCAAATAAAAAGATTATTGTGAAAGGGTGTGTGTGTGTGTGTGTGTGTGTGTGAGTGAGAGAGTGAGAGATGGAGAGGACACAGTGTGGGATTGTGTATGTGTAAATATATGAGTGTGTGTGCCAGAGAGCTAAGTGTATGAGAGGTATATTTAACAACTGTGGCAGTTTAAAGCGTCTCTTCTTACTTGAGGGAAAGAACTAATATCATCTCATTGCACTGGACAAGAGCTTTAAGGTTGAAGCTTAATGAGGACAGCAGAGGCTCACAGAGGAGAATGTACAGCATAATATCAGCATAATATTGTCAGTTTAATATTAATTATATAAAATAATTTGAAGTGGCATTATTTTCATTAATGACATCCAAATGACACATTTATTATTTGTGTTGTGGGATTTAAGAAGTATGAATATCACCCACAATCATATATTTACACAAAATGACTTATACATATCTACACAATTTTCTGCGAATGCCTGTTTCCTGCCTTTAAAAAATTATCTAAATAAGCAAACAAATAAAAGGATTATTGTGAAATAATGTTTAAAATAAGAAATAACGCACTTTGTAGCATATAAAACAGTTTTGTTTTTGTTATTAACTAAAACAAATAAAGCTGAAATAAAATATAAATATTAGATGAAAATTTAAACAAACTGAAATGACAATTAAAAAATTGTCTTGCAACTAATTGAAATAAAGTTGAAGTGTTAAAACTGAAATAAATTTGAATTAAAGTTAATAGATGTTTACAAAAAGACAATAGTAAAATGACAAAAGCACATAACAAAATTACTAACATTTAAACTAGAATTAAAATTAAAACAAAATAAAATCTAATCCAAATGTTAAAAATATTATAATAGTGTATTAATAATATAAAATAACTAATATATATTAATATAAATTCACATTCAGATCTAAAGTTGAAATGTTTTATATAAAAAAACAATATGATGAGTGTTGCTATCAAATGAAAAATAAATAAGATTGTAGAAGATTGTAGAAGTGCTAAAATTACTAAAACTGAAATAAATATAAATTGTATTTCAAATAAAAGAATAATAAAAGTGACATATAAATTAGTAGTACTTAAATTTAAATGAAAATGAAAATATAATAAATACTATTAATAAATACTATAATATTATGTAAATAATACTAAAAAAAACCTGATAAATGTCACATTTGAGATATAAAGTCTAAATTGTTTTATTTTTAAAAAATGTATATAATATAATATATCATATCATATAATTAAAATGTAATCTACTGACAGCACCAAAATGAAGTAATAATTTCTGCTTTATTGAATAATGCAAATTTAAAATCAGCACTTTAACACATTCCTGTCACAATTAGAATTGATGCTTTGTGCGCCACATCATGACAGAAGTGATTCATTCTCAAAATGGTAGTCTCCCTCAGAATAGGCCTGTGCTGAAACCCTGAGTGTGAGCTTTGATCAGCTCTCGGTCTCACATGCCTCCACAGCATGCAAGTGTGTGAGCTGTGACATCTTAACTAGCTTGCTGGTATTATATTAAGTGGATACACTGAGGTCTGAAATTACCCTCACAGCCGCCTGTGGCACATGTGCTACCATGTGTGTGTGTGTGTCTGTGTGTGTGTGTGTGTGTGTGTGTGAGTGTGTGTTTGCCAGTACTGAGGTGTCTGAGGTGCATTTGTCCACCTCAGGATCACCCAACACTTGACTATTTGTGTCCAAACTGAGTCTGAATAGCTCTAGCTAATTAAGAGGAGAGCTGATAGCAGGGATTTTTACATAACATAACATAAGGGATTTTACATAAGTGAACATATTGTTCTAAAACAGCAGCAGTTCAGACATTTTCGTAACACCAATTTGCACCTTTAAAAAGATTTCATAAATTATAAATATTATACATACATACAGTATATATTTATATATATACAGTGGGTACGGAAAGTATTCAGACCCCCTTCAATTTTTCTGTTAATATATTATTTATTTGTTTGTTTATTCAGACATTTTAATTTGTCAGACATATATATATATATATATATATAAATATATATATAACTTTTTTTTTATTCATGACTAATCATTCAGAGTTTTGAATTGATTTATGTGAAATTCATAGTTTGAACTGATTCATGGAAATTGATGGAATGTATCAACTCTAAAGTCTTTTTTTTTCTTTTTTAACACATTCACACTAGACAAAATCATCAGATTAGTCAAAAATAACTGATTCTGAATTCTATCATAGCTGATTTATATGAAATTCATAGTTTGAACTGATTCATTTAAATGGATGGAATGTATCAACTCTAAAGTCTTAGATACACAAGCTAGATACACAATGTTGTTTTTGCCAGCAAATTCATGACAAATATATAGTGAATATTTAATATAGCTAGAGTCAATTAGACTCTAGTCAAAAGTGTCAGATAGCCACGATTCATTAAGCATCATCTCAAAGATAGAGTAACACCAATGATTTTTCATAAGTTAATGAAGCTG